GTTGCTGGACACTATAGTTCTATGCCCCTTTTAGCTTTGGGTGTGAGAGACTGGAGCCCCAGCCTTGTTCTCTTTGCACTACAATAGCAAACTCCCAGGAGATTGATACATTAGACATCAAGGAATTCTGCTCTTTGGTGTGTGTGTGCATGTTATATATGAAAGCTGGAGAAACCATAAAGAGTGCTTGAGGCACACCCACAAATGCAGAACAGGGGTGGATGGGTGGGAGGGAGAAGAGGTTGTTTCCCTGACCAGAAACCAAAGATCCAGAAAGCATGAGACCTTCCTGGTCTGGGCTTCTATGCTTTACATTTCAAATCAGGCAGGCTTTTGGGGTGGCAGGTGGCATTCAGTACAAGTATATCAACCTTCTATTTTTCTGACTGGGCTATCATCTGAATTCAACCAGCAGGAATCTGGATGACCTATCATTGGCAACAGTCAGCTAAGGTGATTTCAAGCCAGTCATGCTCCCTCAGCCCAACCCACCTCACAAGATTGTTGGGGGGAAAATAGGAGGCGGGAGCAATTCATTCATTCATTCATTCATTCATTCATTCATTCATTCATTCATTTTATATGGCCACACAAGGTGACTCTGGGCAGCATACAATAAACCTACAATTAAAACATATTATAATGTTTATAATAGCATTAAGAATATATGCCTTATAATAGCACTAAGTGTTAAGTATGTATGTCTTGAACTGATCAAAAATAAAGGCAGGATAAAATAAAATAAAATAAAATAAAATAACAAAATAAAACAAAACAAAACAATCTGTGAAATCCTGGGACTCCTGTCAGAAGCAGCAGACAATAACTAATGCAACTTAAGGGTGGTGTGCCGTGAGCGTGGCAGGGCTTGGGGTGGCTACTGCTGAGTGGGGGAGAGCACGCAGGAGTGCGTGAGTGGCCAGGAAGGTGCTGCACAAGCACTGTGAGGCTTGATGAGGATGCACGGGTAGAGGAGACTTACCCGGGCAACTTGCGACCTTCCTGGCTGGCTTCCCTATTGACTTTGCTTGTGGGAAGTAGGGAGAGAAGGTCACAAATCACAATCATGTGACTGCGTTGTAAGTGCAAGCCACTACAAAGCTGGTGCCATTACCAAGAAGGTCATTATCTTAGTAAATTGTAGCTGAGCCTCCTTCTGGATTGATACCTGCAAAAAAATCTTTAGAAGATTATTGTTCATTACATATAGGATAAGCCACTTATTTAGTAGTAAACCCCCAAGCCCCTTAGAGGTTTGTACGTCAAAGCAAGCACCTTGCATTTAATCTGGAAAAATATGGGTAAGCAATATAGTTTTGCCAGAACAAATGACAAATGCTGGGAAGCATCCAACAGATGGCTGATTGCCATATTTTGGATTTACTGCAATTTTAAAGTTTCCTTCAACGATATCCCCATGTACAGTGCATTGCAATAAATTAACCAAGAGGTAAGCAGCGCATGGACAATAATGGCTAGATCAGACTTTTCCACAAAGGGATGGAGATACCAAATGGACAGAAATAAACATTCCTTCTCATCATGTTGGCTTGGGCACACACAGGATTAAAAAGCACCCCCGAACTATATATTCTTGCCCCTTAAAGAGAAAATACACCCCATTTAGGTAAAGACCCATCCTGCCCCCCTGCTGTCAAATGGTCTGTTTTGTCTAGGTTTATTTTTAGCCTCTTTTACTTCATCTAGTCTGCAATCTGGCCCAGGTAGGAACCCACCAAATTGCCCAATACACCCTGATGCAGATAGGAAGGAGAACAGATTTAAGTGTTATTTATGCAGATAACACCCCAATTGATCCTAGCAACTTAATTTCAATATTAAAAAAAATATGGAGGACAGAAAGAAACCTTGTGGCACCTAACAGCCCAATGGATGGAGTGCAGCAATAATCTTCAAGATAACCATCAAGAAACAAGCTTTGAGATAGGAGCAGAGCAATGACAAAGCTGTGCCTTCAGTCCCCAACTCCTCAAGACAGTCCATGAGAATACCATGGTCAATGATATAATATGGTAACTAGGCACACAGAGAAACAAGCTTTGCTGAAGGGAAATTAGAATAGATTCCAGGAAGGTAAATCCTGTCTTACTAGCCTTTAGAATGTTTTGAAACTGTTCATAGGAACATGGATGGAATGATCCTTTTGACACTGAATATCTGAATTTTCAAAAAGCCTTTGGCAAAGAAACTAAGTGATCATGGAATAAGAAGGCCTGTCTTTTTATGGATTGCTAATTTGTTAAAAAAAACAGCAATGAGTAGGAATAAATGTGCAGTTTTCTCAGCAGAAGTAAGAAGTGGAGTTCTCAAGGATCTGTGTTGAGACCAATGCTTTTTAATTTGTTTATAAATTATCTTGACCTAGGGATAAGCATTGAGCTGGTCAGGTTTACAGATGATATTAAGCTGTTCAGGGCAACAAAGTGATTGTGAAGAGACTCCTGAAGGGTCTCTATAAACTGGGTGAATTGTCAACCAATGGTAAATGCAGTTTAATTTAAATAAGTTTAAAGTGATAAATATTGGAGCAAAAGCACCTAAACACATATATACTAATGGCATCTAAGTTGTCTAAAACTAATCAGGCAAAAGATTTAGGGTTTATAATGGATAACTCAGTGAAGAGGTTATGCTGGTCTATGACTGTAATAAAGATTTAATTTGATTTGAGTGAAGAGGTAAGCGTAGACCAGCTGTGAGAAAGGTAAATTCCATGCTAGAGATTATTAGGTTAGGAATTCAAAATAAAAATACCAATATTTAATGCCTTTGTAGAAGTCTCTGGTACATCCATCCCAAATCCCATGAATAGTTCTAGTTATTTGAAAAAGGATATAATAGAATTGGGAAAAGTGCAGAAAGAGCAAGCAAAATTGTCAGGGGACTTAAAAATCTTTCCTATAAGAAAAGGTTAGCATGCTTGTGACTTTTTAGCTAAGAAAAAGGGTGAGGAAGAAAGGACATGATTGAGGTATATAAAATCATGCAGGACATGGAGAAAGTGAACAGGAAGACATTTTTACCTCTCTAAAAGCACTAGGACTAAAGAAGTACTTCTTCATGCAGCACATAATAAACCTGTGAAATTCATTACCATAAGACCTGTTGATAGCCACTAACTTTGATGGCTTTAAAAGAGTATTGGAAAATTCATTATGAAGGGTATTGGCCTTGAGGATTCAGTGTTGCCTCCAGTTTGAGGCCAGCAGGCCTTCCAACAATTAGTTGCAAGGGAACAATGGTGGAGAGGGGTACATCTCGGTCTGCTGCTTACAAGTTCTCCAGAGGTATTTGGTTGGCCAATGTGAGAATCAAACCACTGGACTTAGATGGGTCTTGCCCTAGTTCATCAGGGATATTATTATGTAAGCATACAGAAGACCAAGTCTTGCTTAAGAAGAATGAGCATGGCTTTTACAAAAATATCCTTTCTTGTAATCTTTTAGAGTAAATTGAAATGTCAACAAGCATGATTGGGGTGATTCAATAAATACTGGGTAGGTTCATACATTGAGCTATGCCATAATATAGTGCTGACTGGGGGTTTCTGGGAGTTGGAGTCCACACATCTTAAAGTTGCTGAGGTTGAGCCCCTTATGGACTTTTTGTGTAAAAATGAAAAAAAATGAACTTGTGATTTATAGTTTTGATGATTAGGATAGATTATAGAAAGCAGAGTAATATGATGTAACTTTAGAGAGAGAGGTTAAAATATATTTGTACTTATAATTGCTGTTTTTCTTTTTTCTTTTCTTTTCTTTTCTTGCACTTTTTTCTTTTTCTTTCATTTCTTTCTTTTTTCTTCCTTACTTTATATTAGTTTGTGTTAGTTTTTATCCTCTTATTTAAAAGTTTTAATTCGAATATTATATATAAAGTTGCTGAGGTTGAGAAACACTACCCTAATATATTTGTTTGGTGTTAGTTTAAATGTTGTATAACTAGGACATTTCCCCTTTAGTGACTCAGTGTTTGAAACAATCATCCATTGTTGTGCCAAAATGAGGGCAGGCTTTATAACACAACTATGACTGGATGGTGCTATGAATACACCATAAGTCGCTAGCAGGGAAGCATATGGTGCTATGAAGACACCCTAAGTCACTAGCCTTAGTCACTTTGTTAGAATTTGTATAATTATGGGATGAGGTTAATGATTGGAAGCTACAGTTGGTTCAAAATGCAGAAGTCTGGCTGTCGGTGGGTCTAAGCCACTACTCATACTACTACTATAACATCAGTGCTGCAGGCTCTGGTGACCAATAAACAACTGTATACAATTCAAAGTACTGATTTTGACTTATAAAACTCTACGTGGCTTAGCACCCAGGTACCTGCAGGACCATCCGCCTCATATGAATCAGGGGAGAGCAAGACATTTATGTTGTTCCCTAATGGAAGCTGCTGTATGGAATACTTTTCCAGTGGAGATTTGGATGGCACGATCCCGCCGTTCAGTTAAAATGACACAATAGTGAACATTACTTATACTGATAACGACTTAACATCATCTACGGCTGTCACTACAGATAATTTTCCCTGTCTCTTCCCTCTCCTTCACCGTGTCTTCCCCCTCCCTTCTAATACCTAGCTGTGATATAACACTCCTTTCTAAAAATTATGTTCCATGAGTTAGACGAAGCGGACGTTGGTCCAAGAAAGTTATACGATGTGTTAATTTTTAATTTGCTACCAGCTCCTTTGGCTGTTGCTCAGATTCTCGGCAGATGAAAAAAGGCCAGTTTTAATTCCCTCCATGAAGACCGACATACAACTCAGCACCGATCTGAAAATGGCTTCCCCAAGGGAAATCCCGGAAACTCCCCATCTCGACAACGAGATGCACCCCTCTCTCTCTCTCTCCTTTTTCTTTTATTCTCTATGGTATTCCTGGAATTTGACGGAAATTGCCGTTTCGCAGTGCGGGGGCGGTGTCGACGATGCCGAAACGTGGCCCTGCGCGCGCCACGCCCCGACGTTCTCCCGGCAGGCTGTGCGGCTGCAGGCAGAGGACTGGCGGGAGCGTGCTCGAGATGGCGTCTGCGGACGGCATGGTTGAGGAAGCTGTTTCGGCGGTGCGGCGCACCAGGTGAGAAATCAGAGCGGGTGGAGCGAACCAAGGCATCGCAGGCGGGCCCCGAGCGAGTATCCGGCCGTCCCTTGTCCGCCTCACCTTGGACAGTTCCCACGGTTTAAAATTTCCTCTCCACCTTCACAGCCACGTACTTCTTCCGCCTCCCATTGCACTGCTTAAGGCGTTCTGCCTAAGTTCGGAGACACGTCTGGAGCTGAGTCCCAGGAGGTGGGGCATGACTGGGTGGCGCGGATTGTAGGTCCCTGGGATGGGGTGGAGAAGAAGCTGCCCCATGCATGACTTTGTTTGGAGGACCGGGTGGGACAGCCTCCCCTAACGTGTTCGCTTCCCTCCGGCTCAGCGGGAGCAGAGGAGCCGCCCTGAATAGCCTCGTCAGCCGCTTGCCGCTCACGCCGTCGCTTTCCCCACGGAAAAGGACCACCAGCCAGTCGAAAACGGAACCGCCGCTGCTTCGGACTAGCAAGCGCACCATCTACACGGCTGGGCGGCCGCCCTGGTACAACGAGACTGGCACTCCCTTCAAGGAGGCCTTTGTCATCGGTAGGGGAATCGGTGGCTTCTCCTATCTCTGATAGGTGGGAGGGTTTTTTCCAATCCATGTGAAATGAATCTATTCAGCAATTGGGAGCTCCTTGTCATTCTTCCTCTGCCTTTGGCTATCGATTTCTAATTTTCTGCACCATACTTCCCTCCCTTCTTGAAGGTTGCAGCTTCCTGGATAGAATGAGAGTGACATGCTGAAGTAAGGGTTTTTATCAGGTGTTCTGCTGTTGGCCATATTGGTAGTAGCCACGCCTGTTGGGTTTAGATACAGTCTGTTATGTGGGCCGCATCTACGCTTGCCACTCTCAGTACTGGTGTTGGTGAGATCTGCATGCTGGCTTCTTTCCCAGTAGAGATATTGAAGTGGAGATCATTGTCTGGAAATCCAGGCATGCTAGACAGACAGTAAAGAATAGGAGGAGAGGGAACTTGTCTCAGGGCTCTTCCTCCATATTGTCCTCTTCCCATTAGCTTGGTGTTTCCCTCTTTCCCAGGCTTGTGTGGTGGCAGTGCATCTGGGAAGACTACAGTGGCCAACAAAATCATTGAAGCTCTAGATGTGCCTTGGGTGGTGCTGCTCTCCATGGATAGCTTCTACAAGGTGGGCTGGTTAAAATATCTTGGCCCAACTCCCTCAACTTGACCCCTCTCTCAAGGGCTTGAGATGGGAAAGTGACAAAACTAAATCTAGGAAATCGCCTTTACTGATCCAATCTGTCCTCTTCCCAGTTCTCTGATGTCTCTGGTGCTCTTCCAGGTGCTGAACAAAGAACAGCAGGAGCAAGCTGCCTGTAATGAATACAACTTTGACCATCCTGATGCCTTTGATTTTGACCTGCTCATCAGTGTCCTACGGAAGCTGAAAGAGGGCAAGAGTGTTAAAGTTCCTGTTTACGATTTTACCACGCATAGCCGGCGCAAGGAGTGGGTATGTAGGTGCAGGAGGAAGTTGCACCACTCATAGTGATTTATATAACTTGGAAAGCTCCCCCCACCCAACCCTTTTCTGTGAGGTTGTGTTATCCCCACAAGTTATTCATGACCTGGTATTCTGCAACTGGCTAGAACTGCACAAGTACACAGAATCTTTCAGCTGGAAGGGTTCTTATAGGCTAGGTGCAAGGCACCTGAGCTTCTCTAGAGAGTGCAGAACCATAGTTCCAAGCATCTAGCAAACATGGCCAATAGTGAGGATTTCTAGGAATAATGCTTCACATGTGGAAACCACAGATTCCTCATTCCTGGGGTAGGTTGTCTATTCTAATGTGGAACTGAAGCATCTCCCTAGAATGACTGTATCTTCTGCATGAAGATGTTACAATGATCTACCTTGGTGTTTCTCAACTGGTGGACTTAAACTCCTAGAATTCCCCACACAAAGTTGCTGAGGTTGAGAAACTTGATCTCCCTTATCAGTTTAGTTTCTCCATTTATGGGAAAAAGGAATTTCTCACCATCAGGAAGAATGATACAGCCTGATTCCAGCTCTGTTTTTTATAAAGAGGACCATTCATGCACATTCCATTTATTTAGTTACAACTTCTTTCAGTTGCTAATCAGTGAAAATAAAATTGGAATGTGTAAATTAAAAAGATGTTATTGATCTTAGCTATACCATATTTGCCTGAATTGGCAGGCATTTTCTTTTGGAACCTGATCGGGTTCAGATGCTGCGGGACCTTTGGAGGGAAAACTGCATTTGACTTATAAAAGGTCTTCACAGAATGTCTCACTTTATGTGTTTTCCATAATAGTTCATATAGTGAATTCTATCTTGATTTTTGAAATGTAAGTTTTTCTAAAGCAGTTTTTGAGTAAAATCAAAATAGAAGAATAGCATTGTAATAAGATGGTCTGAAAAGATAACTCATCAAGATTTTTCGGATGTGATTAGTTATCTTCTGATGTCAGGGAGAGTCCATCTGGAGTAGGCTATGTCATTTTTGCTATGGTTATATAGTATTTGTTGAATGCATGATCTGTTCCATTCTGGGGACTGAAGACAGATAATAGAATTATAGTTCTGCTCCTTAGGTGCCTTACTTCATATGCTTGCTAGTGTAGGGATCTGCAACTGTGTTTTGTAGGTGGAGGAAGTCAGGTTAGCAGACAGAGGATGAGTATATTTCTGAATGCAGTAAAGTATTCCAGAAGTACTTCTTTGTTTAGCAGAAACGACTATCACCTTTTCCTGAAAGCTGATGGTCAAGTGTTGAAAATGGTGCTGCTAGAGGCTCTTTTGCCTCCATCGTTGGTTTGAGGGCTGTATCTGTATTCCATTGGCACCTACTTCATTTGAAAGCTTTGTTAGATTGTGGAGTCCCATGGTATGAGGAAGAGCTTAGTGTGAAAGGCAGGGCAGCATACTGGAATTAAGCCTGGTTTCCTTGTAAGTAAAAATTTTCCCCGTACCCAGAAAGAAAGCATGTTAGATCTGAGTTTTTCCTGGGCTCTGATTTCTCTCCTTTGCTTTAATCTGACATGTTCTTTCTCCTTTCTTTGCAGAAAACTATCTATGGAGCCAATGTAATTGTGTTTGAAGGGATCCTGTCATTTGCCAATAAGGAGCTTTTACAGGTACTGAGTAGGGCAAAGGTAGCAAACATGGGTAGGGATGTGGACTAACTGGGCAGGTGGACTCCCTATGTGATCTGTGTCACAAATACCTCTACTTTGTGGGAAGTGACTTGTAACTGACTGCCTCAAAGGTGCAGGCATTTGAATAAGTTCTAGGGTAAGGCTTTGGCCAGATGCCTGTCTCTGCAGTTTTTCCCTTCCTTGTGATTCCTTCAGCTCCTGGACATGAAAGTTTTTGTGGATACAGACTCGGATATCCGGCTGGTACGGCGGTTGAAGCGGGACATCATGGAACGTGGGCGGGATGTGGCAGGTGTTATCAAGCAGTACAGCAAATTTGTGAAGCCAGCCTTTGAGCAGTACATTGAGCCTACAATGCAGGCAGCAGACATTGTGGTGCCTCGAGGTGAGAGGAGAAGGAAAGGCTGGTGGTTTGCTCAAGGTGCAATTTTGAGCTGTTTTGTGTGCCAATACTCGCTGTAGAACAGGAAAATACTAGGGAGGACTTAGGTTTTCCTTTCCCTGTGAATCACTTTTAGGCAAATCAGGGTGGCATGAATACTTAGTGCCCCCCATCTATTGGGATGACCATCCAGGGACATTATATTCAAATCGAGTGACACTACCGTACAATGTATAGAATTAGAACAAAAATGAAATATGTCTTCAGTTATAGGCAAAGCTGCTTTTATTTATAAAGCAAGATTAAAGGAGCTTTCCTTATCTGAATCTGCCATGCTCCATAATGCATGCTAGGCTTTGGGAGAAGAGAGTATGCTCAATTCCTTTTGCTAGCCTGGTTCCTCCCCATGTGGTTGTCCAGTGTAAATGAGATTCTCCAGTTACTCTGGTGGCATTATGATTAAATCTAACCAGAGACTATCCACATTTTGGAAAATAAAACTCTTTGAGTTTTAGCAGTCACATAGAATTGTACAGGTAGGTACAGCAACTTATTAAATTCATAATTGCTTTACTACAAATCAGGAATTGGATTTCCTCTTGATGGTTTGACAGTCCCTTAAGCCCCTATGCCAAATACGCAGCATGATGAATGAAACACTCTATTCATGGAATACATTTTGAGATGCAGAGGTTGTAGTTCCTTGAAATAATTTTCCCAGGGTCTGGTGTCAGAAGTGGGCATCCCTCTACAAAAAGTGGGCAAGGTCAAAGCAAGAGCTTTCTTTTTCTCAAGCACACACAGATCAAGTACAGACACTGTTCCTGCATATGCACACACATAACATCCCTAAACATTGCTGGGGGGGAGAATTTATTCCCCCCATTCTTAAATTACCCCATGTTATAAGTATACTTTAGCAAGTATAAACCATTCCCCCCCCCAAATCTGGTTAACGCAGGACAAGAAGACCTGAACCCATTTGTAGGGGCCTCTTCTCCAAAGACCAAAACCTAGGAACAGTTTTGCAAGTAGCAGAGAGAGGTGTGGGTGGCATAACAGTACTGGTCTACTTTGGGAAGAAGCCCTAGAAGTGAAGTGCTTAAAGCATTCTGCAGGAATGTGTAATAGTTGTTGCTGCTGCAATGTAATTACTCTAGCATTTGGATCCATCTCCTGTGGCTTGTTGGAATGAGTGATCAAATCTGTGACTGAAAGACTTTTCTTTTTTTTCAGGTGGAGAGAACTTTGTGGCTCTGGACTTGATTGTTCAGCACGTTCATAGCCAATTGGAGAAGGTGAGGAGAAGTAGTCCTGGCGAGGGAGAAAACATTGCTGCTGCAGAAAGCCACATTCCCACATGGTCACTCTTCCTTGTTGCCCAATATCTGCTTCTTGTTATTATAGCCCAAAGGACTATTCCCTCCTTGCCAACAACTTATCCTTCTCCCATATCCCCAACAGGCATCCAATTCCTGGCCATTGCTCCCCTGAATAAAACACAAAGTAGAGATTGCAGCTCACGGGTGTTCCTAGAATCCTCCCACTCCCTATGGCCCTACGTACCACATTGCCTCTGTCCCCAAATTAGTAAGCAATAGGGAGATGGGGGAGAAAGGCGCCACCAGGCTATTATTTTAGGCTTGGCCTTGGGGCAAATGTTGCTGTGTGCAGTGACCAGCTGTTCTGTTTTTCTTCACTTCCCACTACTCCCTGCCTTGTAATACTGCCTCCTGGTGTGGGCTCCTCTTCCTACCGCCCAGCGTGAAATCACAGTCAGGTATGGTGGCACCCTTGAAGGAACAGAGCTAGATCCTTCCCTTCCCTTCCCTCTTCTCTCCCCTCCCCTCCCCCACCCCTTTCATCTTAGTACTGTTCTCTGACACCCGTCAAGCCAGCCAGCGGGAGAGCAGCTGGGTGTTGGGGAAGAATTGCTGGCACTGTCTGGTGAGGATATCCAAGGAGATAATGCAGGCAGTTGCTTAGGCTGAAGATTCCTTAATGAGCATGTGCAAACTTCTGATTGCTTTGGAACCTCACTAGAGCAGGTTAGGGTTGTGCTCTTTTTACTGAGAGGGCAGCCTTGCTGGCTTTCTTCAGAATCAGAGTTCAAAGTAGAGCTCTCAGGAGGGGTGCTGCTTGATAGTCTCACTTTCCCCTCCATGTCAAGGAAATATTAATCATTGCCAACAGTATTGATTTTTTGTGCTTGGGGCTGTATTGAATGGAGTTGTTTGCATTCCAGCCACATTTCCACAGGTGTTATTTGCACACTGAAATGGTGTACTGTTCAGCTAGGGTGGGATGTAGAGGAGGAAGTTCATTTAGTTGTTTCAGACTACTTGCAGTGAGCTACTGGAATCCCAGCTGCTCTCCCTGTTTTGGTACTGTGCGAGTGTTCTGCTGTTCCTCTGCCCCATGTCTCAGGCAGGAAGCTGCTGCCTTGTCGCCCCTCCTAATGCACTCTGTCTATCTGTCTCTCTTCTGTTCTGCTGGGCCTGGGCATCTGCACCAGAGGAAGCTACGCTGGCATATGTGAGGACACTTGGTCTCCTTTGGCTATTTCCTGCTGCACCTCCCTCTCCCTGTGTACTGTGTTCCATTTTGAGTGGGTGGTGGGAAGTAAGCAGGGTGGGGGGGGCGGGTGTCTTCCTGCTATTTCCATATGGTCCTGTTTTTCCTCCAGTGGTGGAAGGATAACTTAGCTGTGCCTGACTTTCATGGGTGGGCACTGGAGACCTTGGTGTGCTTTGGTTGCTGGGTGAAATTAGAGCAATTGAGGGGTTCCATGTCCTAGGCCAATAGTGTATTAGTGCTGCAGTATTTGCCTTATTGGGAGCAGGGAGAGGAGCTTGAAATTCCAGAATTTGCTTTGGATCCAGCTTTGCGCACAAGCATTGGGGAGAGGGACCATCTGAGCAGAAAGGATGTTTTGCATGCAGAGCTGCTATCCTAGGGCCAGCAGACACATTGCTTCTTTCTGCCATGGGACTCATCATTCTTATTTCTGCACAGAGCAGCCTTGGCCTCTGCTCATCAGGGACAGCCATTGCCAACAACATTAAGCGTCTTGGAGAGCACACCGCAGGTTCGGGGGATGCACACCATCATCAGGTACTGGGCAAGATGTGATAGTGGTGGGGCTATGCTTCTTGCCTCCGAGACAGGCTATAAGCCTTTAGAAAGGGCAAAGCCAGCAGTTTGTGTTTTAGCAGCTACAGGGGAACATCAGAGCTGCTTAAGGAAAGAATGAAGGGCTTGGGGTTCATGGGCAAATTCAGACCAGTCAAAAAAGTCATGTCTGCTTTAGGTCAGGAAATTTTCCAGGGTGGGATCCTAGCCATGGAATGATGTTTCTTTTACCTCTACTTGCTCTGCAGGAACAAGGACACCAGCAGGGATGAATTCATATTCTATTCCAAGCGTCTCATGCGGCTGCTGATTGAACACGCCCTTTCCTTTCTACCACTTAAGGTACATGCTTCTCCCATTCATTTAACACCACACACACACCATTACCTTACAAGCACCAACAGAGATGCCCAGACTGCCTAACTCTGTCTGCACGTGGAGAGATTCTTGTCCCCATGTGTGTTTGTGGGTTCAGGGCAGCGCTTTGGCAAGTAGCCTTGTGTGACTGCTGATTTGGCCTTGTCAGCTCCTCCTGTTCCAACCTACAACTGTCTTGACTTTTCAGCCAGTTATTGTAGAGACACCGCAGGGGACAGTCTATGATGGAAAGAGGTTCCACAGGCAGCGGGTGAGTGATTTTTATTTATTTTTGCCTCAAAGGAGTCTGTGGGGCAGTACCTTCATAGAATAGGGGAAAGGTGGTGGAGATAAGTCTGTTTTCTACAGAATTGGGTTTTCAGCTAGTCTTAGAAAGGTCTGGTTTGGTTAGTAGCTGCTGGAGATGCAGCTGGGATTTTCTTCATGCAATCGCTGTGTTATAAATACTCTACATAACAATGCTTTGCAATACCAGGTTTAACTGGTTGCTTATCGACAAAGATCTTAGGAGAAAGCTGCAAATACTTTGATTTGTGCCGGGTGACTCAGCCCACTCTCAATATTGCTGTTTTCTCCTTTTGTAGATCACTGGAGTCTCCATCCTGAGAGCAGGTGAGACCATGGAACAGGCTCTTACAGCTGTCTGCAAAGACATCCGCCTAGGAAAGATTCTCATCCAGACCAACCACGACACAGGGGAACCTGAGGTGAAAAATGGAATGGGGTCTTTTGAGAGGGAGAGGGATAGTTTTGAGATGGGGCTGAGTTATGGATAATATTATTCATCTCTTTATTTTCTGCTCTTGCCAGTTGCATTATCTCAGGCTGCCCAAGGAAATCAGTGAAGACTACGTCATCCTGATGGATAGCACCGTGTCTACAGGGGCTGCTGCCATGATGGCTATTCGGGTGCTGCTGGTGTGTTGAGGCCCAATTACATGAGATAGGTGGTTGGTTGGCTGGAATTCTAGTTTGCTGGAATTCTTCTGCTCTTGATGTTGCAAACCAAGAGAGACTGATGAATACAACTAACATGGAGTTGCATGTATGACAGGGATTGATGGTTAAAGGTGTTTCTGAAAATGGTTTGGGGAACTCAGAATAATTTGAGCTGCAGTCTGGTCGGAGTCTCAGGAACATATAGGGACTGCTCACAGGTACTTTATTCCACAGGATCATGACGTGCAAGAGGATAGGATCTTCTTACTCTCTCTGCTGATGGCAGAGATGGGGGTCCATTCTGTGGCTTATGCTTTTCCCCGCGTACGTATCATCACCACGGCTGTGGACAAGAGGGTCAATGAGGAATTCCACATCATCCCTGGCATTGGTAAGCAGTTGTTGTTTTCTGCCACTTTGTTTTGCTCAGGCCTGTTTGGGGAGCCTGAGTAGTACAGATCAGGCATTGTCTAGCTGCAGCATTCGTGTTCTGGTAACTGATACTGGGAGGCTGATTTAGCAGTCGCTCTTGTCTTAGATGAGGACACTGCAGTCTGCAAGATTAGCACTTACTGTTTGATGCATTGTTGTGGGTATTTCCATGGGCCAGAGAAAAGTTCCTGAGGTGCCTCTATGACAAGCATGTAATTCATGTTTTACTAGGTAACTTTGGAGACCGTTATTTTGGCACCGATGGCACCATACCCTGGTATGAGAATGATGACATGGATTGCTGATCTAATCCTGCTGGGCAAGGCCTTGTTTCTTGATTAGTGGGTGTCTCTTCTTGGCTCAACTACAGGGATAATGCTATTGCCCTGGCCCCTTCGTGTCGTAGCTACAAGCTCTACTAGTCTGCTCAGCAGTGGTACAGCACTTCCTGCTGTAATACACCAGCTGGGATGGAAACATTGCTGCTGCTACCTTCCTGTTCACAGACCCCTTCATATTTATTGGCATTTAGTGGGGCCCTTACTTCACTGCTAGTATTGTTTGCCCATCCTCTCAGTGCTGATTAGCTTCAGCAGCATCTTGTCCCCTACCAAGGATGCTGTAAGAGAGTATATCCCCGCAGATCCATTGGAGTATTCTTCACTGGCCTGGTGAGCTACTGTGCCCTTTTGTATATGTTTCTTCACTGGCTGAGATGCAATGCAAGCAGGCTTCTGCACTTTGGCCTGGGCTTCCTCTCTGGAATAATTTGTGACTTACTGACTTATTCAGGATCCTGAATAAGTGTGTGTAAATTGCAGTTGTCCTCCCTAATTTGTGACTGCACAAGCATTTGGGACCATAGTGTTGCAATAAGGGACCTCATGCTAGAGGCAAGTGCATTAACCCTGAAAGTCACTACTGCTGGAAGCCAGAGCTACATTTGCCTTCCACAAAGTGGCTATTGGCCTAACATTAGGCCCCCAACCTGCATTCCCTTGTCCTGATCTGTTTCTTAGTACTGTACTCGGCTGACTTTTTTTTTTAATGCCATAATAAAGATTTACAATGCTGCTTGGTTATATCTCTTTGTAATGGGGATCTCTTAGTTGAATGTGTCTTGGATGTCTTTTATATGTCTTTCAGGTAAAGGGAGGGAAATACAGGAATATCACCATTTGTATCCTATTTGCTCAGTTTATTTAAGAAAAAGATTGAAAGAATCATAACAGTATCAGAATAATTATTTCCTTATAGAACTAAATTATAGAATGTCCTTGAAAGAGCTACAGATTATAATTAGAGCCTGGGTGAGCTGTTGTGCTTTTGTTCAGTGACCAGGAGTTGAGCCCAACTCAGTGGCATCTAGCATGGCTGCTGATATCCAAGGTTTGGTGGATTGGGGAGAGAAGGACAAGTACTTGGTTACTAGATTGCCACTGGCAGGATCTGCTTGTCCAGTAAGAACAAAACCATTGCAAAACAATGTCCCCAATTCCAACCCTCTTGGTCCAGAAGGACTCTATGGTCTGTGGTATAAAACACCACTGAATTGGGCCAGGAAGGCAGTATTCCCTCTATTCAAGTCCAGACAGAAGTAATTCACTGGAGCAACAAATGCATTTTCAATCCTGTGCCCAAATCTGAAATCCATGAAAAGGACCAAGACAGTCCACTTCAAGATTATTTGCAGATGCAATCTCTGTGACCTTATACAAAAAGAAGAGATTTTCAGATCAAAAGATGGTACCTTCAAAGGGCAGGGGGGATTCACTGTTGTTTTCAAGACATAAAGTAAATTCTCTGAGGTATTTACAACCTATCAAATTCAACCACACACACCTTAGCTGCCTGAAAGAGCCAGGTGGAGCGTAGGTCCATCCCACAGGTAGCAGAGGAGTTGTTGCTAAGAATTTTCTCCACAAGATCTAAAAAAAACCAAGGTAACCCCACAAGATGCCACAGCTATGCCACTTGTTCCTGCCAATGTAAAACAAGTGATTTTGTCAGCAAATGGCATGCAAAGATGTCAAAGCATCTTGAAGAGAGATTGGCCACCTCCCATTTTTTCCCAGTAGGGTATGGGGTATCTTAATGCCATCAGATGGCATTTTGCCAGAGCAGCAAGCGGAAAAGTATTGGCACTTGACTGCTCTTATCATTACAATACAGGCCCATACCTATACATATGTTTAATTATATTTCATTGTTCTACTCATCATTTCTGCAGCTTCATATCCCAGAACTACTCAGTAAAACATGGAACCTTCCAGGATCTGCAGAGAGGCCACTTGGGGGCAATCACACCTGACTTCTTCATAACCACATTCTAGAGATTGACAAGCCTTGCGACGCAATTGCCCAGCATCTTATAGGATAATCCCCAGGTAGCTACTGAAAACAGCAGGCCCATAAGGTGCCTCAATTAAATTATCCATCCTCTGCCCTTGCGAAGTCAGTGATACTGATAAGCTGCAAGTGAACCAGAAAGTGATCTGACCTTGACAAAGTTCGCTACCTTCAGGTTACAAGCTATCTCCTCTGAGGTGAAAACTAGATAAAGCATGTGGCCAACTGTATACATTAGGCATATATCAACTAAGACAAATCCATAGCTGTCATAGAGGACATGAATTCCTGAGCCACTCTAGTCATTCTAATTTAGTTAGGGACAATCCAGCATCAGACCTGGGATGAGAACTGGCCTCTTATTTAGGAAACAACATCAATAGTGCACTGGCCTAGTTTACTCAATAAGCTAGAATCATGAAAAAAGATGGCATACAAATGTTTGTAAATAACAAACATAGTCACAATGTGATTTGCTTGGTTTTGTCTTTGCCTAAGGGAAGTCAGCCATTGTAATTTTTTACACCTTGATAAATGACAGTGTTGTATAACCCCAGCCAATTTAGTAAACCATGATTGATCAATCCTTAGTTTAATGCTATATGGAGATCTGGTCAGTAATTTCTCCAATAAGCAAAATACTCTTTTGCTCTGAAGCCAAAGTTCCTTTAAAAAAAACCCTTTGACTGCAATTCATAACCGAAGGATGCCTTTTAATGAAGTAACAACTGAACAAGATGGTAATGGCCACTAGTTTAGGGGGAAAAAAATTGTTCCACTCATGTAGATTGGATTACCATGATGGCTAAATTAAATTTCCAGATTCAACAGTAATCTGATGGCAGTTGCTGTGGGTGAATCGTTGTGGTGGAAAAAACAAACCTAATGAACTGGCTGCACACTCCCCCCCCCAGTCTTTTAGATATGACAAGGGTGAAACCCAGTTCCTCTCTTACCTAATCCCATCAGACCCAAATTGACCCTCCCTGCCCCAGACAAAAGCCCCCACCCCACAGCAACCCCATCTAATCGAAGGCTCCTCAGCAGCTCACAGTACAGCCAGGGTAACCCTTACAAGGGAATTACAACCTAGAGAAACCCCAGCCTTCCATCCTCCATCAGCTGAGGATCTCAGCATTCCATCTCCTTGGACAATGGGCTTCCCCAGCTCTATTGCCCTCATGAAAGGCCCATTCTGCCTACCAATAGAACCAGGTACACTGATAAGGGCCTGCCTAGCTTCCTCAAACTGGCCAGCCAAGCAGATCCCTAGGATTTCCCGCCTTCTATAAAAATATTTGCTTTTCCATTATTCAGGGACTCTCTTTCTTGTACAGCAGCCATCCAATAATAATCATGGTTCTTCTCAGTGTTGTGCTCCTCCTTCAGAATGAATCTACAAACAGTGAAGATAGTTTAACCTCATGCTTTGATACCACGCAACACACCTACGATTATAGTTTACTGCAGATAATTGTTTACTTTGGGTTGTGACTGGTCTGTTTTGCTTACAGAAAAAATGTTGCTATTCAGCAGTATTACAGGGCTACCTACAAAGTTATAAATCTAGAGAAGTTGCTCTCTGGAGTAAACTGGAAGTTCATCCTCTTTGGATTACAATTTGTCAAATCCCAAGACTGCTAGTTTTGATTGGTGTTCACACGTTTTGCCAGTTTGCCAAACCATGGCTGAATAAACCATAATTGGTTGAGTTCACACGTTGCAGTCACCCAAAATCAAATCCCTATGATAACTTATAACAAAGTGCAAAGCCACCAAAAGCAGTTTCATCTGTCCCTCTCCATCTCAGGAAGCAGGAGAGATAGAAAATATCCCAAAAGACCTCGGAAATGCGTGGACTGTGTAAGTTTCTTACCGAACTCTTTTTAATATGAACTCCCGCGGCTTCCTTCTGCCGCCCTGCTGCGCACACTCACGATTTGCAGGACTTTACCGTAGATTAAAGTCCTTCCGCGTTTGCGCAGTGAGCACCCTGGAGGCCGGTCGGCCGGTCACTTTCTGGGAGCGGAACAAGCGAGGCAGCGGTAGGTGGGCTGGCGGGGGGGCCGGTCTGGGGGTAAGCAGCGAGCGGCGGAGGGAGACGCGGCTTGCGCGTCCTGCGGCTTTACGCCCCAGGCCTATCAGCCTCCGTGAGGGAGGGCTGCTCGCCTGCCTTATTTCCTCCTTGCCCGACGCGAGACGCGCGTCGTGCAGTTTAGGGAGTTGCAAACTCAGATTTGAAGTCAGTGGGGATTGACGGGCGGAAATAATAGGGTTTTCTGGAAGTAAACTGTTAGGCCCAGGAGATTAAGGCGAGCGCTGTGCGAAGGAGCGACGGTGGCGGCTTCTGTAGGTAAAAGGTAACAGTAGACTTTCAAAGGCTAGGACTGAGAGGGAAGAGAGGCGGACCCAAGGCGAAACCGAGAAGACCCAGGTTGGTCGAAGGAAGGGGAATTATGGGGATAGGTTCCCAGGAAGAAGGAAGGGCGGCTGGTTTTCGCATCCGTGGCTGACCGATGCGAAAGTGGGAAAATGTTAGACCTTTGCCGATGAAAGAACGGATTAAACATGGCAGGTATTGTGAAAATTAAATGAGCGCCGTGCAAGGAGGAGACCGACCTACTATCAGAGCATGAGAGCAGGAATCAGATACCCGAAGTTATTGAAGCTGCAAACTGAGAAAATTAACATAGTGAGGCGGCAACAAAATAAGAGTCCCGTAAATCAGGGGTTTTCAAACTTTTTTAGGCCATGGAACCTGTTTAAAAAAACATTCCCGGATCAAGAAGCAAAGCTCTAGGGATAGAAAATTGGCTGCTCAGGTCAACTTTTGTTTTGTTTTTTGCCCTTAGCCTCTCATGGAACTGCCATGGAACATAAGTTTGAAAAACCGTACCATAAATTATGCCTTGGAGCATAATTCAAATGGTTCTTGGCATGGGGATTGAGCCAGCGAAGCAGGTTGTCCAGGCACTTGAGACCTGCCACTGCTGTGTAATTTATTTTAAAGACAAGAGTTTTATAGCTCATCCATTTTCAAACCTCTTTTGAGTCAAGCCTCTGCCTCTTTTGCTACCAAAATATTGAACATAAAGCAGCATTCTGCTGGAGTCAGTGTAGCAAGAGTGGAACTTTGCACATTTTTGATCAGTGTAACGGATGAGCCTTTCTAGTCTGTAACTACTATTTTGTAGTAGTAATTACTATTTTGTAATAGTAAAACAACTATTTTGAAGGTAACCACAATTATAAAGTTATAAAGGCTGTGTATTAACTAATCAACTTGGGATATCCGGAACATGCAGGTTACTCATGAAATTTCTGATTCAGTTGGGTAGTACCAGGAGGAAAGGAAATAAATGATTCAGCGACTTTGGTGCATCCCCTCTTTTTGCCAAACTAAGGAGGTTGATAAAATAATTATTGATGTTTTGTTGAGCGTTAATTTGCTCTTTCAAGAAATACAGCATTCAAGCATATGGATCTGTTTCAGAATCTTTACAGTAATAGGTAAATTGGGCACCATTTAGATTAAGATTGGTTTATGAAGTGCTTATTTCTGTTCTTATGCAGGGAATAATGGAAGAAAATACCTTGTGGAGAGGTTGCTGTTTTGTCAGGAGAGTTTTGGATTAAACCATTTGTAAATAATATTGGGAATGTAATGATTTTGGAAAGTGTGGTGATATGCAGAATCCCCACATGGTGAGAACTTGCTATTGTTTAAGTGCAACCTAGCAAATTTGGTTAGGTGCTAAAAGCTTAAGTTTCCAATTTAGTCTAGATGTAGAAACCAGATATTTTATTTCCTGAATAGGCAAGGCCTTCTCCAGGAGTAAATGCGAACTGTTTGGCAGGAGGCAGGATATGTTTTTGGCATGTGGAATGCAAAAGTAAGACTCTTGAATTGTTATTGAGGACACCACTGTTTGTTCAGGTAGCTTTAGAGAAATAAAATTTGGAATGCTGAGTACAGCTTTTTATGTCTCTGCTTTCAGGATTTGTAAGAGTTATCATCATTGTGACCTTCTGTAATGTACATTATTATGCTTCAATGTATACTTATGGGGTTTTTTAGTCCAGTAGGTGGCAATAAGGTTTATACTGGCTTTGCTCCAGCATAAAAAAGGAGATGGAAGGAAGCTCCATAGCCCTTTGTGGAGAATCTCATACAATAGGATGATGATGATGATGATGATGATGATGATGATGATGATGATGATGTCATCTTATCATGGCCAGGGCCCCTGAAGTGACAGGGTTGCTCCTATCTGTTCAGGACACGCTGAAGCCTTCAAAACAGTGCATGTTTTGTCACATTGCAAGTTGTGTTTTTGTTTGTGGTGGCAGGGAGCAAATTGAGTTGTGCTGTGTCTTTTCTTGTAGGCTTGTTAAGATAAAGTGAGCACTTGAGAGGTTGAAAAGACACACAGGATAGAACTAAAGGAGCACTTCTTATTTCTCTGAGTTTTGAAACAAGCTGTTCTGCAAATGAAGTCACAGAATGTTTGTAACCTGCAGATCCTGATTTAATTTCCCCACAAGCTTTTGGAACCAAGCACCAACATTTTATAAACTTGGCTCAAACTTTCAGAGGTTTGAAGAAGAAAGGATACCTTTCTTGCAGACCCTTTCTGTTTAATTAATTAAATGGATTTCTGCCTGTGAATAAATATTTTGGTGGCCCATAAATTAAAGGAAACAAACTGCTTACAAATGCTAATTAAACAAGGCAGCTAGGAAGTCAGATAACAGGATCTTACTTTCCTTAGCTTCTGTTCAGGGAGTGCTCACTGTTTACTGTCTGGTTGGCCAGGAACTGCTAGCAGAGTTCAGTCTTGGCTACTACATATTTTCCTGAGCATAAACCTCACCCAGCCTATGCCTGGCAGTCAGGCGCGGGATGGCCTCATTCCATTGGCATTTGAAATGACATGACTCAGCCTTTTGGGAATTAATCTAAGACATTCAGTTTTGCATAGGCTGCTCAAGCTGTCTTATATTTACTGACCTGGTAGCACAAGAGAGTCTTGCTGTGTACTAAGAGGGAGAGGCTGGGCTTAGAGGGAAATCCTCTGATTCAAAGTAGATAGGTAAAGCTGCAACAGGCTGCTTGGAGAAAAGTTGAGCCACTGGCCTGCAGGAGCCCCATGGTCCTAGAGTTCCCACTAAAATAATATTCATTTTGGTCCCAAATAACCATTGCCATAGATCAGATCAGCTGCTTCTGTTGACCCAGATGGCCATGTTACTATTCTCTCCATTGAGCCAGTTTAACTGAGGCTGAAAGAACGAGGCTAGATCCTGGATCCTTTTTCTCCTCCCCTTGTATGAGCCAGATGGTATGGCCAAAACTGAAGCCTGCCCAATTTTGTGATCTGGTTCCATAGACAAGCAGCTTCAAAGCACCAAGAGGAGCTGGGCCCTTATTTGAGGATTAGGGAGTGAGCTGAAGGTTTCCATCCTTGCAGGTGTAGGAGATAAGACTCAGAACACACAAGGTTCTGTGGCTTAAGGCAAACTCTCCACTTACCAAAGAGGGAGGGCAAAAGTATCCTCCATCCTATTGGCATGTGTTGCTTTGTACCACGAGCAGCAGGGCAAAACCTGGCACGGTGGGGTCGTTGCTCCATATTTTTTTTCCCTTTGTGATGAATAAGATGTCTGTTTATCTGGCACTTCCCCTCCCTTTTTTTTTTTTTCTCATACAAGGGCAGTTTACTAAGGACCACAGAATTAGGTTCTGTTACATAAGGTCTCTTTGCTCATCCTTTTAGCAGACTCAGATATAATCCTCAAGCAAAGGACAAGAGCAACAATTCTCCACAGTACAGGATGCATTCCCTGAATACTACCCAGATGCTGCTTCCTTCACAGGGGTGCAGTGGGGGTTATCTGCACCCCTGTGGAGCAAAAGACGTTCTGACCTATAGGCATTTACTCTCTCCTATGATGACCCTCCCTTCTGTGCTATTATTCAGCCTCTTGAATTGCTGCTTAATTTAGAACAAGATGGCGGAAGGTGGCCGGCCACAGAGGAAGATGTCACGGGCTGGGGAGAGTTTATATCATATCCTCGGCTTGGAAAAGGGTGCTTCCTCAGAAGACATCAAGAAAGCATACAGGTAGGGTACTGCTGTCTGCTGTCTTTCTCAGATTGGGTTTTAAGTTAGCCTTTCTTACTTCCAAGATGCTTGACTTCACAGGAGTCAAACCTTGCTTTGGTTTTTGTGATAGAGGCAACCAGAAACTGCATATAAAACAATGAACAGGTTGTCACAAATGGAGGAATAGAGTGCTTTGCCTTCTCCTGTGCCCGAGAAAGAAGCCAAGCAGGCTTCTAGAATTGGGGAACTTCCAATCTCATCATCTAACACCAGAGCTCTCCCTCCTCTGATAGTCCCTTAACAAGCTAGTCTTGCTGAAATTTGTGGACATATTTACAGACATGGCCATTATATCCTTGGCTAAATTGTGTTAAATAGAATTCAAGTTTCAATGTGTTATCTGCTACTCTCCTCAATCTGGATTATATCTTGAGACATGTTACATGATTCTACAGGCTGGACTTCTGCAGGGTAGTCTTTCATCTAGTAGTCCTGAGGTATCAACTATATGATCCTCCAAGCCATGCACATCATAGCCATAGCCATAGCCATGAAGTTATGACCATATTGATCTACCAAGCTGCTAGGCCAGTGTTTCCCAACCAAGACATCTGTGTTCAACTCCCAGAATTCCTCAGCCAACATGGCCATTAGTGAGTATTCTGGGATTGAAGACCATACATCTGGAAGTTTTTATTTTATTTTATTTTATTTTATTTTATTTTATTTTATTTACTTTACATTACATTACATTACATTACATTACATTACATTACATTACATTGTTTGTTTATTCAATTTGTATGGCCATCCATCTCACTAAGTGACTAGGCAGTGAACATTTTTTAAAAAATTATAATACAAAAATTAAAATACATAGCAACTGAGAATAAATCGCATAACATAATTGCTAAATTAACCAAGAAACAGGTCCTTGCACACGCTCAGGGTCTGAGGCCTAGAGCCAGGTCTTTAAGGACTTATGAAAAGCCAGCAGGGTTGGGGCCATCTCTGGAGGGAGAATGTTCCACAGGGTAGGCACTATGGCAGAAAAGGCATATCTTCTAGGCCCCACTAACCAGCATTCCTTAGCCGACAGAACCTGAAGCACGCCCATCCTGCCTGACCGGATCAGATGGGTAGAAACAACTGGGGAGAGATGGCCCCTCAAGTAACCTGGTTCCAAGCCATGAAGGGCTTTAAAGGTGACAACCAGCACCTTGAATTGCACTTGGAGACACATTGGCAACCAATGCAGCTCACAGAGTAGAGTGTTACTTGTGCCGAATTACCGGCGCCATTTACTACCTGTGGTGCCGCATTCTGCATCAATTGAAGCTTCCGAGTGCTCTTCAAGGGCAGCCCCATGTAGAGCGCATTGCAGTGGTCCAGATGGGAGTTCAGGTTGCCAAAGCTGAGAAACCCTTGATCTAGACTGTCCGCCTATGTGGTCTAGTGATGGCATTTGAGGACGCTGCTGTTACCTAAGATTCTTTTTTCTGAGCTATTTGTCTACAGCCCCTCTGTGTGGCCTGCTACTGGTCTTGCCAGGAGGCAGAAGGGGAGACTGCGGAGCCCAGTCAGTAGTGCTTACTGTGGAAGGAACTATTGACTTCCCTGAGTTTTGATGGCTCATAATCTATTAACACTGTGGAGGATGTTTGGTAATGTGGCTTAAATATGTATTCCCACCCCCAGGAAACTGGCTTTGAAATATCACCCAGATAAGAATCCTGATAATCCTGAAGCAGCAGAGAAGTTCAAGGAGATCAACAATGCCAATGTAATTCTCAGTGATGAGAACAAGCGGCGTCTCTATGATGAATATGGCTCCATGGGACTCTATGTGTCTGAGCAGTTTGGGGAAGAAAGTGTGAAGTATTATTTCCTCATGTCCAAGTGGTGGTTCAAGGTAGGTGGCTCATGGAACAGGCAACCTCTTTCCTTTCCCCATGGGCACAGTCCAGAAGCCAGTGGTGGCAGCTTTTCGTCTTGTTATTGACTAATCTTAAGAAGAGGCTGAGTTTGTCACTTGTACCCCTTCTCCAGGCACTAGTGGCGTGTTGTGGCATCTTAACTTGTTGCTGTTGCTGCTGCTGCTGCTGCTTCTGTTGTGGGAAATGCCGCCCACCTGAAGATGATGAGTCCTACAAATATGTCAATCCTGAAGACTTGGAGGCCCAGATCCGTGCAGAAAATGATGGTGAGATTGTTAGGGCAAACATTGGGATGAGTGTGGAGTTCAGTTTCATGCACTTGCTGACCCTCAGGGAAATGATAGTAGAGATTCTGGTACGTACAGCTCTTTCCAGGGTATGTCAGGTTCTGCCTGTATATCTATCTCTTCACATGCACAGAGCACGTTCACGTGAGCTCTACCCTTTTGCTCCCTCATCTCCTGCCTTCCAGGGCTTCTTGCAAGGCACTGATTTCCTGCTAGCTGTGTTAAACCAGCATCTGATCTCCAGCAGATCAAGTAATTAGCTGGCTGGGCCTATTAGGAACACATTATTTGGCTTCTGCAATTAATAGAAATCAGTAATCTTTTTCTGCTGGTTTTCTGATCAACTATCCAATAGGAAAAGTGAGGAAGATTCCACACAGACTATGCTTCCTATGGCTGAAAGTGGCATACACTCCTGGCCTAAACTTAGTCACCATTATTCTCCAGTGATTTGAACAAGAAACTCACAAAAATGTATCTGCACAGAGGTGCAACAAATACAATGTTAAGCCCAGATGTGGTTTGCCCATACTCTTTATACCTCCTCAGAATGCGTTGATCAAAAAAATTAGCTTGTTTTATTTAGGAAAACATTTCCTGGGTGGTAAAATCTGTACAATAGTGCAACAGTTTGGTTACTGACATTGTGAGTTTGCCATCCCTGAAGGTTTTTAAGAAGAGGCCAGATAGTCATCTCTCAAAGATAGTTTAATTGGTTTTCCTGCACATAGCAGGGGGTTGGTCTAGATGATCCATGGGATCTCTTCCAACTCCACAACTGTGTGATTCAGTGACTTTTGGAATTTGGAAAATTTAAATTTAAGGGAGCTAAATGAAGAACAGAAGTGTGAGTCAGCATTTCACCCCTTAAGAAATGCAAAGAACTTGGGATCATGGCTTTGCCTATATCTGGTATACTCACCATGCTATGCAGAGTTCCAGTGTGGTCTTTGAGCCAATGGAAGTTGCGCACACCAACCTTAACTTAAGCTTAACACCGTTTTTTAAAAACAGAAGAACCCAAGGACCCCTGCAAAAACTATAAGAAAATAGAAAATCCCAGCCTTTCTCCTGAGTGATGTGACTGCATCCATTTCTTCCATCATCCTGAAATCTAAGGCCATCAGCCCCCTCTGTCCTATTAAGTGTAGTCCTTTTCCCCTCCCCCTGGAAGGTAGCCCATCTCAGGTCTAGGGCATTGGCAAAGAATTACTGTTTTAGAATGTAGAAAAGCTGTGCTTTTCCCCTGTTCTTCTGCCTCAAATGCAGTGAAGCTGCTGCTAATGAATGTGATGTACTATGTTTCTTCCCAAGGTGGTGATGCCATCCGAATGCAGCCCGCAGCAAATGCAACATTGCACACCACAGATGAGAATCAGTCCTGCAAGCCATGACCTCGTAAGCAGGGCAAGATTGCTGGTGTGGGGTGGGAAAGTCATGGGGAAGCTGCAGGAGTCTTTTGCAATTGGTGACTGGATTCAGGAGGGTGTAAAAGAAGTTTTGCATTACTGGGGTTTGTGGCTCTACAGTGGCTCTATGGTGAGGAAGTCTGCTGCTGTGTAGCAGTCCCTTGAGTGGAACCCCCTCTGTTTTCTGAAATGTAATACGCCCTTGGTTAGATCCAGGATCTTTCTGCACCAAGGATGAGGTTTTTTCAGGATATTATTGGTCTGTGAAAGGGCTGGTGGATTAAAATCTGCTGTGGAATGGGATGATATTGCTTTCTCTTCTAATGCTGCAATCTGAGGATGTACGCTCAGACACTTACTAATAACTGGGCTTGTTAAATGCACAAGCTTTGAGACGGAACAAATCCCTTGCCAAGCAAAGAGCGTGTGGATGGACTGAGTTGGCTAGTTGTTGCCCAGTTCACAAAGTGATAGTTACAATGCCTGAGACTTATCTGCATGACTGATGCAGCTGACCCTGCGTGTTCAGATGGGTGAAGTAGAAGACTGGGAAGCCGTGAACCAAGAGTGACTGCAGCAGGTGTGGTTACTCTGCATTAGTAACAATATTGATGTCTGCTTGGATGGGGATGCTGTTCCGGATGAGTTTCTGATGCTAAGGCCACTCTTAACATCTGTCTTACTGTGTATGTCCATAGTTGTTTTGGCTCTCTCTGTCTCATTTCTTCTACTTTGGTGACTGGTCCACTTGTTAGCACTGGAAGAGACTGTTCAGAAGAAGGAGAGGCATCCTTTTCTCCAGATCATGAATGCTGTGCACAGACCAACAGCAGATATTTCCTAAGCCCAATGCACACATTTTTTGCCCACGGTCTTCCATTCTAGCAGACAAGCTTGCTGTAAAGCTTTTTGTCTTGTTCCTTCCTTTCTAACTTCACTTTCTCTTCCCTCCATCAGAGTTTGGTTTCCAGTCACAGCACAGTCCCTACTTCCAGCAACCATTCCAGAGACACCCTGCCCAGGCCTGAATTACCAATCATTTGGACTCTGGACAAAGAGCTCCCTCTCCAATTGCGACATTGTGCAACTTCTTCTCCGGTGAGGGTGCCTGAACGCCTGCTTCAGAGTCATAAGTCTTCTCAGGGAACATGGCCACGGGCATACTCAGACCTTGCAAGGGGCTGGTTTAAGGAAGGAGAGAGACTTTAGCTCCGCCTCTTTGGGCCCAAGGAACAGCTTCCCCTTCACCAGCAGAGCAGTTCTTTGTTTAGCTGGTCTTCCCACAGTAGTGGAGGAAAAGAAGATGGATGAATGTTGCCAACCAGCAGTTTTTGTCCCCAGTCATTATTATTCCCTCCATCCTTGGCATCTTGTTTTTTTAAGCCAGCCATTGTGCCCTTGTCAAAGCCCAACTCATGATGGAGGAGGGGATATTGGACTCCCCACCTCCAGTGCCAGGGAGGCAAACTGCCCTGCTAGGGCTGTCCCCTGGCAACTGGAACTGCCCTTTCTGACCTATGCATTGGTGCCAAGCTGCATTTCAGGGTGTAGTGTGAAGTATGGTAAGATTTGGAGTGCCTGCCTGGTAAGTTGGGGGGGATTAGCCCATTATCTCCCATGATGAACTGCTGCTCCAGGGAGCTTTAGTTGCTGTGTAGCATCCTGCCTCTTGAGCTGCCCTGAATCCTTTTCTGTGGGGTGGCACTGGCCAAGGGCATTTTTCACACTGTGATTAAAAAAACTGTTAGGATTTTATCAGCACAATTAAATATTTCTGAAGGAAGGAACTGCTTTTCTGTTGTTCATGTTTCCTTGGGAAGTATTCATTTGGTCCTGGGAATATTGGGGTAGGTCTTATGTACTTTGCAGGCAATCTCTGCTTGGCCTTTCAAGGGCATCTCAGTTTTCCCCAGATGCTGGAATTTTTAGTTGAACAGGGCAAGGTAACAACTCACTACCTTTTTATTTATTTGTGGGCTAGATTATGCTATTTAAGGATCCATAGCTGGCCTTGCAACCATATCCAACAATGAGTGTAATTTGTACATCAACTTGGAAGGGATTGTACGTGAAGTACTTCAGAGTTCTGTTTTAGATCTATTCAACATTTTTATAAATAACTCTAGGCCCTAGAGGGGTATAAAAGTTGGGAGCAATAACAAACACATAGAAAACAGAATCAATATTTAAAGCCATCTTGACTATCAAGAGCACTAAATCAAATCAATAATAAATACATAGAGATAGAAATAGATATAAGTATGATAGTGGGAAGAAACGGTCACAAGCTTCTATGCTATAAGATCAGGAAGTGATACTATAGAAATTACTTGATTTTTTGCTTTTTGATCTTTTATCATCAGAAAGGCAGCACAGGTTGTGAGAACCCTTTCTCACACCCAGTGGGGTTGAGTGAGGTGCCCACAAAAGACAGACAGTGGCAGCCGGAACTACCATGTATGAGGCAGTACCAGCATGTGAATGCTTCTGAGGGGAGGTTTGACTTCCAGTCTTCCATGTCTGAGCTGTTCTGCTACAGTCATCTTTTCTTCTTTAAATACCTTCAAGTTTTTAAAGGGCTGTCATGTAGGTGATGGAGCTAATTTGTTTTGTTGCCCCAAAGAATGTATCTGAATGTTAGAACTTCTTAATCATATGAGCTATTTGGCAATTGAACAGAAGCAGAGGCTGAATTATTGTCAAGAGGAGTGTGGCAAATGGGTATCTGTATCAGCAGGAACTTGAACCTTTTGAAGTTGTATGCTTTTATAATTTTAATTACAAAAATGTCCTGTTCTAGGATTTAACATGCTCGATGCAGCCTTTCTTAAAAACTGCATAAAGTCTCTTCGGTCTTAATGGTATTATATGGCTTAAGAATGGTTGCTTTGGGACTAACGTGACTGACTATATCTCCTCCCTGCTTTAACAGAAAAATAAGTATTAAGAAGTAACAGTTGGGAGAATAATAAATATGCCAGGAAGAAATGATCAGGTATACATTTCTGCTTTGAGACCCAGGCTTAGGTCCAAGCTACTCCAAAGAGATTGTCTTTTTATATATATACAATTTTATTAAAGATTTTAAAAAATATTAAAAACTAAACTAATATAAAGAATGAAAAAGAAATAAGAAATGCAAGAAAGAAAAAAGGAAAAAAATAGAAAAGAAAGAAGATACAAAGAAGTAGCTTCTGATTTTCTTTACAGCAGTTATAATTATAAGTTTACCTCTTACTCTGGTTACAACATACCTCTTGTCTTTCTGTAATCTATTCTGTTTAATCATCAAAACCATAAATCATAAGTTCATTTTTTTCTGTTCCTCACAAAAAAATCTATAAGGGGTTTCCAGTCAGCAATAAATGTAGACATTGTCTTTTCTCTGATCAAAGAAGTCAA